TGAAAATTTACTATTTCGAAAACTTCAAGTATATACCATAACTTATAACTATTTTATTACTAACTTATAACTATAATCACGAATTTTTTACTCATCATTCCAAGGAAAAAAACGCCGATTATTTTATCTCGATCTCAACCTAGCGGAGCCGAAACTCATCACAAGTTTTTTTAAATTCCATGGAGACCTACATTAGTTACTAATTTATTAATAACTAGCTGTAATAAATTAGTAACTCATCGATGATACAACAGAATTTCAAAAAACATGTGATTTGAGTTTTGGTTCTGCTAGGTTGAGATCGAGATAGACAAATCGTCGTTTTTTTTTTCCTTGAAATGATGAGTAAAAAATTCGTGATTATAGTAATGAGGTAGTAATAAAATAGTTATAAATGATGGTATATTTAAAATTTTCGAAATATTAAATTTTCAGCTATGGTTCTGCTAGGTTGACATAAAGCTAGCAGAGCCGTTGGTTTTTTTTGTTCAATGAAGAGTAATAAATTTGCGAATATGATAATAAATTAGTACTAAATTAGTAAAAAATTATGGTACTATTGAAAATCCTAAATATTGAAGTGGTTCTGCTAAGTTTATTGGGGTCAATTTTATCTATATATTTTTATTGAATTTTACTCTCGGACCAAATTATTCAGCAATAATGGAATACGCAAAAGTAATAATCACATTCCGCAAGAAGATTCTTCCCGACAAGTTGAATGCTATTTTATTTTTTGATTTGAAAAAGATATTGGATGAGGAATATGGAAACAACTAAAGTGCTCACAGAAACAAGTGGACCACTGAAATATTCGACAATTTTCAAACCGCCATATCTCTTTAGAAAATGAATGGATTTTCAATCGGAATGCAGTGCTTGGAAGATGCAATCTTTCTGTTCAAGATTCCTTGTTCGGAACTCGTCGGGAGTTTTTCTGTCATTACACATCAAGTGTTCGAAAAAAGTATTACACCAATGAAAAAATTCAAACGCTTTCGTATTCCAGAGAATTTTTTTATTTCCCTATTAGGCGTTTTTTCCAAACGTTCGAGCCAATATCTCGAACTCGAAACGGTTTTGTAATTTTCCATATTCCTCATACAAAATGATTTTTCATTTTTAGGTTTTTATCGCATCATTTCCGATTTTTAAATTATGCAAACCACATTCAACGTATTTTGCCACTCTATACGATGGAACACATCCTAGAAAATGGATTCATATTGCTTGAAATCATCGACAACTTTAACAGAAGAAGAATTAATGTTTTTGGAGAAATGTTCAGAATTATGTAAAATCGTCTGTTCAGTTTGGTGCTGCCATAACCATATGCTATGCAAAACACAAATCCTTCATTTGGATCGATTGCTCTGCTCAGTATCTCGAATTGATTTCGTGATTTTTCAGATAAGGCAATCCAAGAGGGCGCAAGGAGGCCCTTCTGGATTTTTCTGAACAATTCATACAATAACGATGCTATAATGTTTTGAATTGGCTCGGCCGTTACTTGATGGAAATCCATGATAAATGTAAAAACTTCACAAACGATAAGATTTCCACAAAATTTATTAAACACACGACATGTTTCGCTAACACAGTAGCTTCGTCAGGTGATATACTGGTACAATGAACTAAACTAACGTTGGCTTGCTTAACTTTTATATATCTAACCTTCCCAACCTGAAGGATTAGTTACCTGTGGACAGGTACGAGAAACCTCCATTTTCGGAAATTAGGCACGATATCTACATTAAATTACGGTATACCGGATTAACTTGAAAGAGTTGATATCAAATACATATTATTACTTACTAAGAAAGTATGATACACAGGCTAGTGAATGTCCCTCTTTCGGAAGTAAATTTCAATAAAGAACTCAATATCATAAAACAGATTGCTGTCAACAACGGATACAACGTTAATTTGATAGACAGTATTCTTTCTAAAAAACTTCATCATAAAGCTATTCAAGAAGTTTATCCTACCATCAAGAATAATAATCAATATTATAGAACTTTAACCTATTTCGGATCATCAACTGAGAAATTAGCTTCATTTCTACATAAACAGGACTTAAAAGTGGCATATAGAACAAATAATACGTTGGGACGGTTTATCAAGAATAATAAAGACAAAACTTCTAAATTCGAAGAATCAGGAGTATACAAACTCAAATGTGGATCTTGTCCTAAGGTATATATCGGTCAGACAGGTCGTACGTTTGATCAGCGCATTCATGAACATAAGATGAATTTTATGAAAAAGAAAACAAATTCAACATACGCCAACCATATATTAGAAGAAAACCATAGTTTTGATGATAATTTCGAAATTCTGCACGTAGAAAATAAAGGACTGAAACTTTTGACATTTTACTTAATGATCAATTAGACCTTAATAGTTCACCACTGTTGAATTTGTTTTCTTAGTAAGTAATAATATGTATTTGATATAAACTCTTTCAAGGTAATCAGGTATACCGTAATTTAATGTAGATATTGTGCCTAATTTCCGAAAATGGAGGTTTTTCGTACCTGTCCACAGGTAACTAATCCTTCAGGTTGGGAAGGTAAGATATCTAAAAGTTAAGCAAGCCAACGTTAGTTTAGTTCATTGTACCAGTATATCACCTGACGAAGCTACTGTGTTAGCGAAACATGTCGTGTGTTTAATAAATTTTGTGGAAATCTTATCGTTTGTGATGCTATAATGGTTGTAAGATATTCCTGAGCTGACATGGAGTCAAGAAACCTATTCATCACAAGGTTTTTCATCGCGCAATCGAAAATCAATCGAAAAAGTCGATTCCTTGTAATCAACACTCATGATATTGGTATCCCAGATGACGTCACATAATATGCGCGAAGACACATCATCTTCTCCTTCCATTATGGGTCTATCTGGGTTAATATGCTGGTTGTAGTTGCAACACTCAAGTTCATCATTTCCATTTGTTTAATTTGTCTAATTAACCATTTACCTGTTTTTAAAAGCTTTGAAATGTATAAATAGATCATAGTTTTGTTTTTGTATTCTGTGTGGTAAGGGCGTGAGAGGGACATATTGAAAAAATTGATATTCTGTACGCTAATGATAATAATTCACGCTGGAATTACATAGTTGAAATCATTCTGATTGCTATAGGTATTCTTCATAGATTCTGATGAATCAAACTCATGTGCATGCAGGGGTGCCAGGGCATGAGGCAGTTGATCGCCTAGCAAAAAAGGTGCATAGTCTATATCCTTTGCTCATGAGACTTTCTGTGGGACAAGCAAATGTCATCTAATCGCAGAGCTCAGAAAATGGAAAGAGCTCCTCCTACTGCGTGAGCAATTCCAGGTCAACAAGAACAAAAAAGGTCATCAACAATTACTGAGCCCCAGCAAACCAGAACTGAAGCACTGCCCCCTGAGGTATTACTCCAAAAAATGGGCCTAGCAAACCAAAACCGCAGAACACATACTTTTCTTTTGCATCAAATGTTCTAGTCCTCTAAAGACTGGATAACCTGACGCCTGTTGGGGTGGAGAATTTAACCATAGAATTTCTAGGTCTTATCAGAAGTCTAGGGTAATCGAAGACAATTAGATGAGGGTAATCCCTACAATCTGATCATCGCTTCATCGTCGTTTGGCAGGGGGCTGCTAGTGCTGCTACTCTGAAGAATCTGGTGGTATATGAGAAAAACTTGGTTTTTCTCCTCCGCTAACGAATAACAATACCTACTTGATGTAAATATACATAGGTTAGGTTAGTTTCCACATGGGTCTATTGTGGCTCACCCCTAGAGGTTACAGTTCACTGTACAATTCACATATTTTCACGAAGTCCATGGTTGAATTAGATGATATTTGTCTGAAATCGATAGTTTAGGGTAGGTTCCACATGGGTCTATTGTGGCTCACCCCTATAGGTTACAGTTCACTGTACAATTCACATCTTTTTAAAAAGTCCATGGTTGAATTAGATGATATTTGCCTGAAATCGATAGGTTCTATGTTGGTAAAGCCAAATATGTCGAACCTCAGTCTCTCTAAGCAAGAGCATGAACATAATACGTTTTCAGCGCTTTCGTCTTCCACACAGCAGAACCGACAGTCCGTTTGTTGACTCAGACCAATCCTTCCCAGGTTGTGTCTTAGATGACAGTGTCCCGTAATCCGTCCTGTCAGAATTATCAGGTTACTCCTGCTCCATTCTAGGATCTGCCTGGTTATATTTATTGATGGTTTAGGCAGAACCGCCTTCGAATGGGTTAATCCTGATAATTCAGACCGATAAGTGAGTCTTTTCCCCTTCGGCCAGTCCGAGATAGTCGTTTTCGCCGCACTTGTGGTGACCTCAAAGTATGGTTCTGGTCCTATGAACACAGATCTCATTGCCCCCGTTTGCAAAATCCGCAAATTTCATCTATTTTTAATTTGTTCTAGGTCCTCACCAGTTAGTCCTACATTCATGAGCAAGGACAATTATATAAAGAACATTAATCTACCAGAACGTTTTATAGAAAAGCTTTTTCGCTTAAGTGTATAGTTTACGAGATATGAGCAAAAAAACAGAAAAAAGTGCGAAAATGTCGCTTCTTCTTAGGAATAACTCAGAAAACTCCAGGAAATTTTGTTTGAAAACTTCAGATTCAAATTCAGCACCCCCAAAAACATAAAAAACCGCAGAGACCGAAAACTTGAATTTTTTCCACGTGCAAATGCATTTTATTGGACTAATGAAGAAAAAGTATTTATTTGTTTTTCAGAATCATATAAAAGTATATATTCATTTTGAGTTATAAAACAATTTGAACCAGCATTCGATTAAATATTTCAGCAGAGTGAATACAAGTAATAATCGGTTTTGATAATATTGACTTATTTTTTGTTTTTTTTTTCATCACATTGAACTATTTTTTGAAACCTAATAAATATGTGAATGTGAATATCAAAATAAATAAAGGATTATTAAAACTTTCATCTTATATTTACAGTCTTCAAACTTCCTCAATCACCAACGCCCTCTTCAGATTCTTCTTTTATTGCACTTTCAGGTACAACACTTAGTGTATCTCCTATCATATCATCTTCCGGTTCTTCTTTTATTGTATTTTCAGGCATACTCGCTGTGTTCTCTTTAGCTACGTTACTGTCGGACTTTTCACTTTCATCAGGACGTTTCATGTTAAGGCTTGCTACAAACTTTATTACACTGTTGATAACATTTTTTTCTGAGATTCTCTGAAACCAAGAAGACAATTATTATTTATACACCATGGTAGTAAAGAATATCATTATTACCAAGATAATATCCAATAATTGTCAATGAACGTCCAAAAAGGGGGTGTAGAGGATATTTTTTTAGACTAGGGATATGTATACAGGGTGTTCATTTCAGGACTTTCCACCTTGATTTTCTCGAAATGTGTGTATGTTTTTGAAAAATCCCGAGACACGTCAACAAATGTATCGAAGGGGACAAGTTTTCATCAGAAAATGAATGCGCCTCCTTTCATCCCCTGCAAGGGGGAGCTACCAACTACAAAATCTCAAATGCGAAGGGGTATCGAGTCATACCTCATTTTGAAGGTCTTTGTAACCTCTACACGTCAGTGTTTTGTTTTTTAAAATTGATCGATCCGTTATCGAGATATTTAGGAAAATCAGTTTCCTGCTGCGTATACCAACTGCAAAATCTCAAATGCGAAGGGATATCGAGTTATACCTCATTTTGAAGCCCTCTCGAATCTCTACACGTCGGTACTTCTTTTTCTAAAATTTTTCGATCCGTTGTCGAGTTATTTAGGCATTCTGTTTGCTGCTACGTACCATTGAAATAAAAACACTTCAATTGTTTTTTTCTTCTAAGTATCTACTTCCAATGTGCCAAAGGTGCCAAAGGTATACAAAAAAGTGTACTTGTTAAAGAAAATAAAAGACATATTGATTTGTTTACTATAATTATCAGTTGTGTGATAGTTGTGATTTGATAAGGCACTGTAGTAAAAATGGTTTACACTGTAGCTGAAAAAGTCGAAATAGTGTTCATTTACGGCGCCGAAAATCGATGTGCTCGACGAACTGCCGCAATATTTAACGAGAGGCACCCAGATAAGAACACCTCTCATCGGTATGTCCTCAATCTGATCGCCAAATTCAATCTCAGACAGGATCTGTTGCAAATTTAAAACATGATCAGCCAAGAGTTCTGACTGAAGCCACTCAAATTGAAGTATTAGGTTATTCTGGTATGAGTCCTAATACTTCGTTACGTACCATTTCTACTGCAACTGGAGTTTCCTTAGGCTCTGTCCACAAAATTACAAAAATTACTAAAGTCCATCCATATAAAATGAAAATCTGTCAAGAGTTGAGTGAAGACGACTTTGACAGACGAATTGAGTTTTGTGAGCAGATGCCAACAATTATTAATAACAATATCGCATTTTTAAAAAATATCTGCTTCTCTGATGAGTGTTCTTTTTATTTGAATGGATTTGTCAATAAACATGTGTTTGTCGAAGGGCATACCCAATATCCCCAAAAACTAAATGTTTGGGCTGGTATACTAGGAAACCAAGTAATTGGTCCTTTGTTCATCAATGGAAATCTAAATGGTGAGGTGTACTTGGATATGCTAGAAAATACGATCAATCCACTAATTACTGAAGCACTTGAAAATCAACTAGATAGAGATGGAAACACCTTTCTTGATGAAAACCAGTTACATTTTCAACAAGATGAAGCTCCCCCCCATTATGTGCTTCCGGTCCGTCAATGGTTACATAATATATTTCCCGGTAGATGGATAGGGCCAGCCAGGTCCCAGGATTTAGCACCATGTGAGTTCTTTTTATGGGGACAAGTGAAATCAGTTGTTAACACACGCCCGCTGCAAAATTTACAAGAGCTTCGACAAAGGATCACTGCAGAATGTCGAGCACTTCGACCAGACATGTTTGAAAATGTGCGCCACGCATTTGAACAGAGGTTATACCATTGCTTGGGCAATAATGGACAACATTTTGAGCAATTACTGAAGTGACAGTAGTGTAAAATATTGATATTTAGGTTTGAAGTAAAAGGAATGAGAATAAACAGTTACAGTTTGTATTTCAATGGTATACGCATCAGAAAACTGATTTCCTAAATAGATCGACAACGGATCGATCAATTTTGAAAAACGAAATACTGACGTGTAGAGATTACAGAGACCTTCAAAATGAGGTATGACTTGATACCCCTTCGCATTTGAGATTTTGCAGTTGGTAGCTCCCCCTTGCAGGGGATGAAAGGGGGCGCGTTCATTTCCTGATGAAAACTTGTCCCCTTTAATACATTTGTACGTGTCTCGGGATTTTTTGAAAACATATACACATTTCAAGAAAATTAGGGTGGGAAGTCCTGAAATGAACACCCTGTATAGCAATGAGCCGTCGTAGCCAGTAGACGTGTTGTGCTTGCGCTCTGACTAAATTATATTGTATTGGTACCTATTTAGTTATTACTTACACTGGAATTTATCTACTCGATAAAATATAATCATTTTGTCGAAATGGCACCAACAAGTAATGTGACTGTGAAAGAACTAAGTGCCTGTATGGATAAGTTGAGTGAGCTGTTTCATAATGGTATGAAGGAGCTGAAAGATAATTTTAATTCCGAGGCAAATGCTAGTACTTCTAGGTCTGATAATAGTAATAATGATATATTATTTGGAAAACTCAAAGTATTCGAGAAATCTATTAATGATTCACTCAATCTATTCAAAAATGATCTTGAAGTTTTGAAAATTGAGATGAACAGCATATCAGACAAAATGAATAACATAGAAATGCAAAGAAATAATCAGTTCCTGATAATTTATGGATTCAAAGAGGATAACGATCACATATTAGATGGTTTATTGAAACTTTTCAATACCAAATTAGGAATCGATATAACCAAATTTGATATTAGTCATGTATTTCGCATTGGAAAAAATACTGCAAAAACTAGACCTATTGCTGTTAAATTTGTTCGTCGTTGGATGCGTGACCTTGTTTTTTCTAACAAGAAAAAAATCGAAGGTTCATCGATTGTTGTCACTGAAATGTTGACGACGGATAATATGAAGATCCTCCAGAAGGCCAGAGCACACTTCAAAAATGCTGCTTGGACTTTCAATAGATTAACCAACGTTGAATATGGTGGCGCTAAAAAAGTTCTGAGGTGTGAAAATGATGTAGATATTTTGATAAACTCCTGATTCTTGCGAAAGGTCCATGTCCATGGCACTCTTTTGTTTTGTTGTTGTAAATTATATAAAATGCATATCTTTTTTTTTCTTATCACATTGGCTATCCATATTATATTTACCTAGTGTTTAGTATAGAAGTAAACTTGATATTATTTGATTATTATTAATTTTATATCCAATATATCAATTACAATTTAATGCAATATTGAAACGCATAATATTTCATACAGTTTTATAATTTATAAATTGGGCATTTCATACTATATTCTTTTGATATTAATTTTGGGATTTAAATGATTCAAATGATGGTAGGTACGTACCTATGTATATTTTCTTTCTGCTTTGTCTGATTTTGAGTTGTGTACTAAGTATTTCATACTTTTTTAATTTTCTACAATCTTAGCAAGCTTGATTCTTTCGGGCCAAGGGCAATTCATTGGTATACTTATTTTAATTCTCATATAGGACTCAACATTCAACTCATATAGATTTTCTTCGCGACTATCGCGACTGATACATTATGTCTCGTGAGTGATGAATATGTGTTTCAATTTTATAAACACTATTTGTAACTGTTTGTAACTTTAACTTTTCATAAACAAGTACTTTATTTCTTCATTCATCATTATGAAAATAGCTCATTTGAACTTAGGTCGATATTTACAGGTTTCAATGAATTTTTAGCTCTTATTAATGAAAATGAATCCGATATTATAATGGTCTCTGAAACATGGCTGACTGATGTTACTTGCTCCAATGCTGTTCGTGTTCCTGGATACAATTTATTTCGGTGTGACAGAGAAGGAAGAGGAGGTGGTGTCGGTATTTACGTGAGGACCTCGTACAATGCCAAACGGATATCGTTCGACTTTCCGGTGAGCAATTTTCTTGAACATTTGTTTCTGGAGGTGAAAATTAAAATGAGTTAACTTGCTGTTGGTGTATTTTACCGACCTCCACATAATAATATCAACAATTTAATCAATGACTTTGATAGTATCTCCTCAAACATTTGCCCCCTTTACACAATTATGACTTTCTGAGTATTCAAAATAATGCTTTTCACAGTTGTCTTGAATCTTACGGGTTTGAACAAATTCTGACTGAGCCAACGAGAATCACAGCCACATCTAGTAAACTTATTGATCCAATTCTTGTGAATCAAAGCGAATTCATCACAAAATCTGGTACATTGCCCTCTAATGGTATATCTGACCATATGTTAGTATATTTAGAATATAAATTGAATCGACCTAAAATGAAACCAAAAAGTGTAACTTATCGATGCTTTAAAGACTTCAACATTGATTCCTTCTTGAACGATCTCCAAACATTACCTTGGTTTGATGTGATTTTGGAAGAGGACATTGACAACAAACTCGAGTTTCTAAATAACCTGATCATCACAAACTTTGATAAGCATGCTCCTATCAGACAAGCAAGAGTTACCAAACCACCAGTTCCTTGGCTCACTCCTAACTTGGAATTAATAATGAGAGAAAGAAATAGAGCCTTACAAAAATTCAAAAATACAAAAACGGAGGCAGATTGGTCGAGTTATAAAGATATTCGTAATTACACATTGTCGATGGTGAGAGCTGAGAAAAAAGCTTATTTAAGGTCAGTTTGTGCGGAAAATAATTCTCGTAAAACATGGAATGCACTGAGCAAACTTAATATTCGTGCTAATAATAATCTCATGATACCTGATCATTTTTCAAATCCCAACGAAATCAATAATATCTTTGCTAAATTTGTACAAAATGTTACCAATAATTGTGATGAGAAGATTGATTTTTTTAGTACAAATTCATTTAATCTTGATAACCAATTTTCATTTCATTTAACGACCGCAGAAGATATATAATATTTTACAAGGTATAAAAACTCAGGCTTTAGGTGTTGACCAAATATCGTCTTATATGATAAAATATTGCAGTCCATTTATTGACGTTTATAGTACAGTATTGTTGGTAAACCTTTTCCCAAAAAAACGTGATCC